GCTTGAGGTACGATGACATTAATTTTACTTATTTTCATAGCGACGTGTGTTGATGAAGCGTCTATCTAAAGCTAAAAAATTAAGTTGAAATATGTATATGTGGGTTTTAAAGATGTTGAAATCACACGGGCTCATTAATAATAATAATTTAAATTGACAATATAATTTGACACTGCCATTCTGAATTTCAGATGAGGGAAGGAAGTGTCAACGAAATCTAAATCACTACTAGCGCCAATTAATTAAAGGATATATATACTATCACTATTACTGGTTACTTAATAAAAGTGTGTGTTATCACTAGTAATAATAAACTGATGAACAACAATTGTGATGTTATTATAAGTTGTAAGTGCAAAAACATCTACTATTAATACTTTATTGCCGTCGATTCTAACATACTGTGAAAAACAACACAAACACAAAGCTTTCCCGCGCTTTTTCCTAACAATTTCGCCTAATTCTGGGCTTGGAACGAAACTGATAATAATAATGTACCTATCTAGTAGCTTGAATTAGCCTGAATGATCCTGTTTTCCTGTATATATATATATATCTCACTACGAGAGAGTCAGCTATCCTTGGTTCAAACCCTGCTATCGACGAAACACAGTAACAGCATAATTGAATGCAACTAACAAGAAAAAAAGAGGTTGCAGTATTGATTGCAGTTTGCAAGCAGTAATACAGGATTCATTTACGGACACGTTTAAACAAAACCGGGAAGAGGGAGGGATTAAGGGAAAAAAGCTGATGGTTCACAAATTAACGTCCTTTGTGCCCTCTGCAACGATGCAAGATAAAGAGGACAAGCCTTAACTTCTGCACCGGAAAGCGGGTTCCGTCTATTAGAGAACTCGTGTATTTATACCGCAGATTATCTACTGTCGCAGTACCTAGACAACTTAAGCTACTCGACGACTCACAGCTCCCTAGTCCATGCATGAACGAAATTACTGCCCGCCTTATAGGGCTTCTTGCATACACCCTATACTTACTTACAGCCTGCGTTTTTGTCAATATCAAGCAATCAAAATAGTAAGCATAGAGCCAAGGTTGAAATTTCCCGAAACGATAACAGCAGCAGCAGACAGGGTAGGATTATAGTCAACAGTCCCAGCGATAAATTCCAACCAGCGATTTTCAAACGATAAATAGCGGTCCGTTCTTATTCTATAGATTCAAAGAATCGACCAATAAGGTATCGTAAATGCTGGCAAATTTAGCAAGTTCGATGATTTACCATTGATTATACTGTTGTTCTCTACCGTTCGGATGATATAGTAGATAGTGTAGCATGGTTAGCTAAAGAGTCAGCATACTTCGTTTCGAGATTTCTGCATTCTTTAAGCTATTTAGTTTCTAGAAGAGAAAGCAATGGCCGGCTGCTGTTCGGTGCTATATGATAACAAGTTACATTCTATGGTACTTTTTTTAGGGGTTTTTTCTGCTGAGAAACATGTATATTTTGCTAGATATACGTACGTTTTACTTAAAGAAAAACATCATTCGTTTCAAACGTCATCTTCGTTCAACGCAATGAGCAACGACCGATGATAAATCTAAATACAGATTATTGCATAGTACCTAATATACGGATACGATTTTCGTTTCCGTTATTTTTCAACCCGAAACAGAAGTGTATTACGCCTTCTGCGTTCTGTTGTTACATTTAAAAGATCGCCGATCTAAAGTTAACATATAAAATTAGGTGTAACACTTCAGATAATTTTGACGAAAGCTTTCTTCTGCACGTTAACTACTAAGCAGTGATAGGCGTGTTTTTGTTAATGACAGCTATATGTTTTTATGATGCTACGAAAGAGACGCGTCTAGCACAACCTCGTGCCATGAGAACTTCATGTGAGTCAGAATTCCTACTGACGAGTGTAGACTGTAACGTACGATGTTCGTGTTGAATCGTTGAAACAGCAGAAAATCGTGTTTGATTGGTCCGTTCTGTTGAAAATAGAGTAAAAAGTATTGATGTGTGTATTTAGTATATTGGTACGTTACGAAGCTTTCGATTTGCTGTTGAAGAATAATACCATCAAAAATCAAGGGTTGCCTTCCACTGAAATTAAGCTGAATTCGGGTAAAATGTTATAAAAAAAAAAAATACTGCCTCAACGACATTTGCCTCACTGTGGTTGTTAGAGGGCTTTTTTTTTTTTTTTTTTTTTTTTTTTTCGATAATCTTGGAGTACTCAGGTAAGATACATTCTTGGAGAGCTAATTAAATATTTTAAATAGCGCAGCTGTTATACCAGTGTCGTTATTTCAAGAAGCTTGCCTTCCATTAGATAGCATTAAGTCTTTGCGTTGGTTCTAGTGGTGCTGCCGGTTCGCATAGAAGATGACGTACATATTGAAGAGCTCCTAATTCAAATCATATGTATGAAACCATTTCATGATTTTGCAGGTGTAAGCGACTATATAGCGACTATATAGAAAAAAAAATGGTGGTTCGAAATAGAAATTGTAATAAAGGAGAGCAAACTTTAGCAGGAAAACGCACACAGACATCAACTTCTCGAATAGATGTCATGGAGAATACATGTCTTCCCGCAGAGCTGGTTTTCCTTTTTATGTCGAGGACAAGACGGGACCTAATAAACGTTTTTTTACCGTTGAGTTATGTAAGCTGCTGTTTGTTGTCCATTAAGAAGTTTAAGTAGTAAACAAAGTAGGAATTGGATCCGAGAATAATTCTCATTAACTACTAAAATAGACAAAATATCGGCTTGACTATCGATTAACAGACCCGTCTGCGGATCGATCGAAAGCAATATCACTAAACGGGCCAGATTTTTTAATGGGTGCCACTTGATGAATTACCGCTCTCTGGAGACGTTACCACGCTTTATGTTGAAGTGAGCTATATACACAGTGAACGCTACGGTAATGTTACATTATACTGGCCCACAATCTTCAGTGCGTAATAAGGCTTCATTAGTGAGACGTTATTTTATTAGCGAGGTCGGCACAAATTCGGCCTAGGCCCCATTAGTGATATAGTTGGATCGCCTTTGCCTTATTAAACGTAGAGACGCGTAAGATAGAACGCGTAAGGTTCCGAATCGGGAATCGACAGATAAACTGTGTGTTTCGTTATGAAAGGGACCAGCTGTTTGATGCGGTGCTGAACTGAAGTATTAGAACAGGACGTACAACTCGAAAAAATTAACTTTTGCAGCAGTTCTAATATTTTGAAAGATCAACTTTAGAAATCGGTGACTAGTAATTGGGGTATTTCTCACGGTTAAGGCATCTGCGTGAATAGCCACAGCGCAGCATTACGATGCACACTTTCTATAAAATCGTGTGATTAGAAACAAAAAGAGGCGCAGGATGTTTCCGCAGGGCACAAGTTAAGCCATAGTGAGGAAGCCGTTAACCATATTTGAGCTCGCTTCAGTGAGATAATAAAAAAAAAGCAAGATTTAGCATCATAATCAAATCATTCAATAATATGACATGTTTCGTACCCTGTCTATGGTCAACCCTTTATTAAACAGTCAATTTTATATACACGCTTAGTTTGAGGAAAGCTTTTTCCGTGGATGCACTAATAATTTTAATTGATTTTCTTCCTCTTAGAATAGACTTAAGTAGACTTCTTTGCAGTCAACAGCGTAAGCTGTATGATGATTAAATGCTTAAACAGCAGTTAGTTGTACGCGTTTTTGGTTTTACGAGTGACGAGCCTGCGGGAGAGCCTCTCCTATATATATAGGTTTTCTTGCGATTTAGGTGGCTTTTTTAAACCTGTTAAATAATTTTTACCATACTGTATATGCAAGACGGACGTATAACAGTCTCGGAAAAAATAAAGAAGATTTTCTTTAGGGACCCTGCAAACGTTTCTGCCCCGCCCCGTACAATTCCATGAGCAGAGGCTATCCCATCAAGTGGCAGAAGCGCCTCTTCCCGTCACACAAATCTATTTGACAGCGTATTCCTGCATCTGTGGCTTCCATGCTTCGACTTTCGGGAAACGCAAGGTTCCACCGTTGGTTTGCGTACTTATAACCCTCTATATAGGGATATAGAAGCCCATGCCTTATTACGTAATGCATAGCGTGCTTGTAGCTTTTCGCCACCCTGTTGTACATCTATATGTGAGTCTCCTAT